GGTCTTATTTTTCCTCTGCCGGTAAGATAAACTTTGATGGCGGAGCCTTTGTAGACTGTGAAAGGGTGTTGCTGAGACTAATCCTGCCTGTGACAGACTTATGACCCTTGGGCCCGAGTGAGAAACTCAAAAGTCCTGGAGCAGCTGGTCATCTATTTGGGTTCAACCTCGCTTTCTGCCCCGTGGGGGACGAACCGCGATGGAATCTGTGGCTCCATCAGCGGGGTTAAAGAGGATGCTCTATTTCACTTGGCAAGGGACAGAGAAGCACCCCCGCCACACACCCCACCACCCCCTCCACCTCAAACACTTCAGGCCTCCGAAGACATGTAAACAACAAGATGGATGTTGACTGCTGCTGTGGTGCAGCCGTCTGAACTGATATCTGTTGAGATGTAATTTTAAATGTGTAGAAACACGGAGGTGTTTGAGTTCATGTCCAGGTAATTTAGGGTGGATCATGGGAGTGTCAGAGGGGAAAAAGTTCGGTTGTGTAACGATTTAAGGCTTTTAAAACTTCACGTCCTCACCACATTGTGCCTCGACTTGCTGGAGCGTTTTCTCGCTCTAACATTTATCACCGCAGCCAATATTGATTTGTCTCATTTCCCACATGCAATCCAGCTGGGATGGATTGACACCAAGGGCTTTACTTCTAAATATGTTTTGACAGGGTTTAGTGATGCATCAACCACAAACAATATCAAAGAAACCAGAAGTAGATTTTCTACTGTACCATCAAACAACATAGTGTTGAAAAAAGTACTTTTTAATGCTAACCAGAGACTAGATAAGCAAATTATCGACTGGCTAAGGCTCTTATGTACAAAGCAAGAGTTACATTAATCAATTAAAAAATAAACTGTGTTTATATAACACTTTTCAAATGGAGGTGCGTAACACAAAGCCTTGCTCCGGTTAAAACTATCTAAACAAAGCACTCGATGCCAAATTATCGACAGGTACACCTCTGCCGGCCCTAAACTCGTCTGCATTTAAAGCACTGGGCATTGCACCTGTTCACATCTATTTTTGGACTTAAATATTCTAAGAACAACATGACTTCCTCTTTGATGTTTACCATTAACTTCAGTGACCAACCACTGTATGTGTACCGTCCAAAAAAAGGGGATTCAAGCAACAAAGATCACTTTACCAGACCTTCAGCTTTGACCTTTGACCCCCAAATGATTTCAGACCTCTGTTGGTCCAAGAACAATTATCATGTCAGTTTGAACTGAAATCAATAGGTCTGTTCAGGAGCTACAGTTACACACAGACGGACAACCAAAGAACAGCATGCCTCCTCGGATGGAGGCATAATAAAAAGAGACAATGGCATGGCAATAAAAACAATTACACACAAGATAATTACGTAGACTTAGAGGAAGCCACCAGACTTTCAACTTAGCCCCCTTTAAAYGAGACATATTGTCCAAAATCCAGTCTTTTTTAGCAGTTAGATCAATTTTGTTGTGTAGTTGTAATTGTTTCTCACGGTGCTGCGTAGATAGATTCTGGCTTAAAAATATGTGTAAATATTTATATATATCTTTAGATTTTGTTTGGCTCATATTTTTCAACCTGTTCAGTTTTCTCTATTTTCTATGACATTTTCGGAACTATTACATCACCCACTGTCTGTGTGTTAGTGTGGTGTCCGTCCATCATGAGTGGTCTTGTGTGCACGATATCGCCTGAATGGCATTCTATATTTACTTATAAATAGGCATAGTAACTCCATTAGGGTAGTACTCAGGTCAAGGTCATTTATTGGTAATATAAAACTGCCATTTGTTTTCTAAGTCCTCGACAGTAGAAATAAAATTCCTGCTCTCCATTGCCAAGGTCTCCAGTACAGTGGTTTGTTCGTGCTCATGCTAACATCTGCACAAAGTTGTGCTTCAACGAGAAACATGTCTTTGGGCAGGAGGAGTCATACCAGTCAACATTTTGGCATCGAGTTCCATCTTTTTCACCTCTGGCTCTGGGCCAGACTCTGGTTCTGGGTCAGACTCTGGTTCTGGGTCAGACTCTGGTTCTGGGTCAGACTCTGGTTCTGGGTCAGACTCTGGTTCTGGGTCAGACTCTGGTTCTGGGTCAGACTCTGGTTCTGGGTCAGACTCTGGTTCTGGGTCAGACTCTGGTTCTGGGTCAGACTCTGGCTCCAACATGTAAGGCTGGATGGACGAGTCTTCTGTTCACATCTTTTAATTCATTTGTAAATAAAAAGTTTCCGTGCAGCTATATAGTCGTAAACCCCTCTATCACACTAGAATAAACCGCTCTGGAAGCTGAAGGGGGCGGAGGGAGCGCCCCATTTGCATTTAAAGAGACAGCCTCAAAACGAGTTGATCTGAGACACACTTCAGAGAAGGGGTGAAAGAGGGGCTTGTGGAGTTACTATAAGGAGGAATCCAGACCAAATGATTGCAGTTCCACTTTCTATAGACCCCAACTGAAGGATTTACATGTGAAAAAGGATTTAAAAAGACTATGTGTCCACTTTAATTACTCAGCAAATTTGTAGTCTAATTAGACTTTAAAATTGTTTATCCTTTTATTAAATAAGATCAAACTTGTTAAACGTGGAGGAAAAACAGAACAGCACATCATCCAGGATGGGACTCTGTGTCTCAGTTTGCAAACATCTGATGTGAAACACAAAAGCAAAAAATTACAGAAAGTTCAACCTGAATCGTCCTTTTCCTGCACCTTGGTAAAAAATAAGAACTCTAATGAAGTGGGCTGCTCTGGAGCTCCAGAGGTTAAAACACAGACCTGCATCATCTGCTTCGTCGTGGTCTGACAACAAGTTACACCTCATTATTTTCTTACTGGAACTTCTCTTTTATTTAAATATAAAGCATGTGTTACATATGTCACAGCACAGTTTAGCTGAGCCTGACATGTCACCTCAGCTTTTTAATTAGCAGRACACTTGTTTACTGCTAAACATAAAAAAAAACTCTTTCACCTGAACGGGAATTAGAAAAACATGAAATAAACAGACAACTGATGTTTCAGGGAATCTTTAAAACTAGAGTCTGTGCTGAAAATGAATTTAAAGTTCGTCCTCTGATGATCTATTTCTGCAGGAATTGTTTGTAAGGCTGCGTAATTGGCTTTAATACCTGTGATACCTTGGCAACAGTCGAATGGCTGTTGACACAAAGATGCACCCAAGATGCTCTCTGTCACCTCTCAGGGGGAGGAGGAGGAGAGTTAAGGTGCCCTGTGGTTGCAGCAGCGCACTATAAATAGGTCCAGTGGAAAAGCAGACTCTTAATGGTTTAACGGGGGCTCTAATGTACCGCAGCTGTGAAATATGTATGAGGCATTATTACTGTGGCCATAATTACGAGGTAAACAACAACAAAAAAAAAAAAATAAATAAAAACAATAATATACTCTTATCAATTCCCTCCTAGAAAATACTTCTGGGAATCAATAGAGCAACTAATGATCAGACCTTGGCTCATTCTGTTCTAACTTTAGTTTTTTTGTTTGTTTGTTTGATTCAGGCAGAAATTTCCAGAGTGAACCGTCCTCTGAACCCAACGACAGAACCATGATCTGAAAAAAGAAAGAGATTTGTTCAAGATCAAACTTCGATTCAGTTTATTTTTATTTTAAGGATGGTTCAGTTTTAGGACTTGGGAGTCCATCACAYGAAGTGACTCATGTTCGAACAACCAAACAGTTGAAGCTGCTGCAGCACTTAGAGATAAAAACAACTGGTTCATGGGTTTATTTATCTGTTTTTTTAAATCTCTTATCAAACAGAGCTGTTAAGACCTGCAGGATTTTTTTTGTGTCAATTATACATCAGTATGATGAAGATGTCCATTTGGTTAATTTGAGCTCGTCTTGTTTGCTTTGATTGAYGTTTGGTGCAGCTTTGGACAGAAAATAAACTTGTCCCTTATTTTCTTTCTACAGCCTCAGTTACCTCTGAAAATGTAGGTAATGAGGACAGAAATCACCTGGTTGACCTTTGCTCTTTTTTTTCTTGCAGCTTTTTTCTCAGTCGTCTTTTCTAAATAATCATTTTATCATACATTTTGTATATATTTACATCTCCTCCGCGAGTGCCACTTTTTCTAGACACTTGGCATTTATTTGCTAAATTTGATTTCTCTATAATACTGTACTACTACTACTACTACTACTACTACTACTACTACTACTACTAATTATTATTATAAGTGCATTTATTTAAATATAAAAGATGTGTTGTATGTTGGTTGTGTGTTGCTTCTGGGACATGAAACATAAGAAAACATTAAAGACATTTTGCTGTTGGATGTGAATTTATCCAAATTAAGAGTTTGAACAGCAGGAAGGTCTTGTGTGTGAATCATTCAGTTTTTTTTATTATTTTTACAGCAAATCTCATCTTAAGGCCCTGTCACACTGATGCTTTAGACAAACTATTAAAAGTTTAGAGACATCTACGTTGAAGTTGGAATTTTAAAACAATCAACTGGAAACCTCTTTTAGGCGTGTACATACTGTGATGCTAACAAATTGATGGAATATCTAACTTTTATAAGTAATTTATTGGAAATGTTTTTTCACAAGTTATTAAAACATGACAGGGCTTGTAATAGTTGTAATTCTAGAGCTAATTGAAATTATTCACAGCTACCTTAAAATAACACTTTAAAAAGGTATTCTTTACTGAAATTTTAGTTTATTTTTCAAATTAAAAAGCTTTTATAGTCTCAAGGTCAATGACAAACCATAAAATTACCAATAAATGGGATCAGGGAAATGATTTACTGGTGGAGAACAAAACTGTTTGAAAGATTTCAGAGCTTATTTCATCCTCTCTTTTTATTAGTATTATTATTTTATTTTATTTTAGATTATTTTGAGGGCTGTCCTGTAAGAAACTGCAAACTAAAACCAGCCTCGTCCTTTATGTCAAACTGCATTGTGTCTCCCGTGATGTCATCTTGATAATGAGCATCCGTCAATCTGTGCTCTCTCCACAGCGAGTCCAGATGTGACCGGTGATTACAAACATCATCATTATCATCATCCACCTGCCAAGGATTCAAAAATAGACGGCGGCTCTGGCAGCGTCAGACTAACCGGAGCCATCTGGGTCCCGGTGTTGGCTTGTTTACATATGATCCTGGACTTATAACAGCTGTCATTTTGCAACATTAAACTTTGAATCTTAATTTTTAAGCTTATTTATCCAGAAATAAAAAAAAGAGCCCGTGGATGTAAGTAGCTGCAAATCATTAAAGACTTTCTGTTCCACCTGCAAGACTCGACAACCAAGCATGACGTGGAAAGATGGAACTCGTATAAAAAAA